GGGGGGGGCCTCTGTCTGTGAAGGATGCTGAAGAAGAGCAGCCTGGTCCTCTGGGGCGTGGTGCTGTTTGTGGCCTGGAACGCCCTGCTCCTTTTCTTCCTGTGGACCCGGCCCCCAGCCTTTGACGACCACAGCCACTTGACCGAGGAGGTCATCCGGCTGGCCCAGGACGCTGAGCTGGAGCTGGAGAACCAGAAGGACCTGCTGCAGCAGATCCACCGGTACAGCGCCCTCTGGAGCAAGAAGAGGAAGAAGGTGGAGGAGACGGGTCGGCTCCCACCGGCCGCCGCCGCCTCCAACACTGGGGCTTTGCCCACCACAGAGGCCGTCCCGCACCGGTCCCGGGCCTCCCCAGATGCGGTCCTGCCCGTGGTGGTGATTGCCTGTGACCGCAGCACGGTCCGTCGGTGCCTCGACAAGCTGCTGCACTACCGGCCGTCCCGGGAGCGCTTCCCCATCATCGTGAGCCAGGACTGCGGGCACGAGGAGACGGCCCGGGTCATCGCCTCCTACGGCGAGGCCGTCATGCACATCAAGCAGCCGGACCTGAGCGACATCCCGGTGCCCACAGACCACCGCAAGTTCCAGGGCTACTACAAGATCGCCCGACACTACCGCTGGGCCCTGAGCCAGGTTTTCCGCACCTTCCAGTACCAGGCGGCCATTGTGGTAGAGGATGACCTGGAAGTGGCTCCAGATTTCTTCGAGTACTTCCAGGCGGCCTTCCCGCTCCTGCTGGCTGACCCCAGCCTCTGGTGCGTCTCGGCCTGGAACGACAATGGCAAGGAGCAGATGGTGGAGGCTGGCCGGCCGGAGCTGCTCTACCGTACAGACTTCTTCCCTGGCCTGGGTTGGCTGCTGCTGTCGGAGCTGTGGGACGAGCTGGAGCCCAAGTGGCCCAGAGCCTTCTGGGACGACTGGTTGAGGCAGCCGGAGCAGCGCCGCAGCCGCTCCTGCATTAGGCCTGAGGTCTCCCGCACCATGACCTTCGGCCGCAAGGGCGTGAGCCACGGGCAGTTCTTCGACCAGTACCTGAAGTTCATCAAGCTCAACGACCGCTTCGTGCCTTTCACCCAGCTGGACCTCTCCTACCTCAAGAAGGAGGAGTATGAGCGCTCGTTCCTGCCCAAGGTCTACGACGCCCCCGAGCTGCGGGTGGAGGAGCTGCAGGGCAACCAGCGTCGGGAACTGGGCACCGTCCGCGTGCAGTACAGCAGCCGCGACTCCTTCAAGGCCTTCGCCAAGGCCCTGGGCGTTATGGATGATCTCAAGTCGGGGGTGCCCCGTGCTGGCTACCGCGGCATCGTCAGCTTTCTCTACCGCGGCCGGCGGGTCTACCTGGCGCCCCCTTCTGACTGGACGGGCTATGACCCCAGTTGGAGTTAGCACCGTCTCTCCCCGGACATTGACCCTTGAGCATGTTGGACCCATAAAGATCATGGAGCGGGTGGGCGGGGTGTGTGTGTATGGGGCAGGGACTCAGACCTTGTATTTTTGTTTTCTGAGTGGCATTCGAGTGCATTCCGGGGTGGGGCAGGGTGTGTGTGTGTGCACTTAATACGGGGGGGGGGGGAGGGGAGGGGGCAGGATTATTGTGATGCCCCGATGTGGGGGGCAGGGGACTGGGATGGGGCATGCTGAGGCTTTCCCCACTGCCCTCCCCCTCCATCCCCCCAGTGCCTATCCCCTTTCTGACATTGTGATCTCCCCTCTACCGTGTCCCTGGTGGTTTCTCCATGGTGGGTGGGTGGGGTCAGAGCCAATGCTGAACCGAACTGACCGACCAGTGGCTACTTTCCCAGCCTCTGTGAGCTGCAGGGGAAGAACAGAGAGAGGGGGTTGACCACCTCATCCAGGGAGGGCCTAATGGTGATGCCAGGACCTGCTTAGGACCTTTGGCAGTTCCCACCTCGCCATCCTTAGTTGGGGGCAGAGTGGGAGTGGGCAGGGGTCACCTCTGGCTATAGCTGGAAGGGAACATTGGAGATGATGGGGCACCCTTGATGGTCCTCAAGGGCCCATCGTTAGCTGTAGGGGAGTTGTGCAGGGGCAGGGAGCTTTATGTCCATGATGACCTCTTTGGTGTCTCCATCGGACCATCTCTAGCATGGTTGGAGCATCAGAACCTTCTCATCCTTTGACCTGTGCAGTGGTCCCCAAGCAGCCCTCTAGGTCACAGGTGTGTGAGGAGTTGTCCTGGCTTCTCTCTATCCAGCAACCTTACGTCTCCCCAGCATTCCTCTGTTTGCAGTGGGCTTTCCACCACGGCGGTCCCTTCACTTTGTCCTTCATTGCCGCTTTTCTACACTGTGCATGGAGGAAGCTTGTTACGGAGCTGGGCCTCTGCAATCTGGCTCGTGTCACTCTCCCTGGCGAGGAAGGGAGAGACCCGAGCTTGCAGCCTGCCTTAATCCTCAGCGGGGGCCTCCATCCTTTCCCGGGTTGAAGTTCGGTTCAAAGTTGGCTCAGTCCCTGCCCGATGGTGGCTGATTCCCCTGCTGCCATGGTTGAGAGGACCATTGATGTAGCAGTGGGGAGAGACATGAGATATCACCATGGAGGAGAACCCCAGAGGTGGTGGGACACAAGAAAAGGGGCTCTCTGACAACGAGCTCTGCCTTATCTATGGGGGTAGAGCCCCCTCTCCAGTCTCTTAGAGGTGCTGCTAAGCTGTTCAAGAGCCAGTTTGGGGAGGGAGAGTTACAGTTCAGACCTCATTTGGCCAAAACATAGACCACACCAAAGGGTAACTTTTCCCCCCACTGTATTATTTTGCTGTATTGTCCTGTTTTTGTTTTTAAATCCCCTTATATCTTCCCCAGTCCGGGAGGTGAGCCGGGGGAGGAGGGAGACCAAACTGCCCATTGGCATCCTACATCGCCCATGACATTGCTTGGTGCCCTAGGGCAAGTTTGGCAAAGGATGGGTGGGCGCCGAAGCTTCCTGCCATCCAGTCCCTGTTGGTGAGGTCAGGCAGCGAGGAGCTCCCGTGTCAACAGCCAAGGAGGAGATGGTCGTTCCAAGAGAGTATTAAAGGGTCTGAAAATGTACTGTCTCCAAAGTGCCCCTTCCCTCCCAGCTCTGGTCGGCAATATCCAGAGCGCCTGAGGCATCCTCAGAGTAGGGGTGCTTCAGTGTGTATGTAACTTTCCTCCCCTCCTTGGGCCAGGATGGGGGGAATCTATCTGAAGGAAGAATCTCTGGGAGAGGGAGGTCCATTTGTAGGTAGGATCTTCAATGGGATCCAGCCAGCTCTTCAGGGATCCCTCCAGGTTGGGTCGGATCCCTGCTGTTTGGGAGCTGGGCAGGCTCTTCCATCACGCCTTGCCTGCGGCAATTCAAGTGAGCCCAACCCCATTCCATTTGCTCTGGGCTGTGCCACCCTCACCACACGTGGCTCTGAGGTAGGGCTTGCTGCCCCGTGCTGCCGAGAGGCCTTAGACTCTGGTTGACTTCAAGGTGAGGAAGACGGTCCAGCGAAACGAAGCCCCTGACTACGTTGTGGCCGATTGAGCTCCCCTCGCGGACCCTCCCTGCTCCTGGCCGAAGCAGTGAGAGGTTCTGGTGGAGGGAGTTTTCCCTCTGTGGGTTTGCAAGAGAAGAGTAGATACAACCAGCTATGGTGCTCTTACCCTCTTGGAGAGGATCCCATCCCCTCTCCCCTACCCCCAAACACTGAGGGTGCCTGGGCAGCCTCGGACGGAGCGGGGTCTGCACTGAGGGGAGTTGGGATGGAAGCCCACCCTTTGTTCAAGGAGGGTGATTTAAACCAGTTTCCTTTTCCATAGCGGTTGCTCCCCCTACCATGGGGGTTGGGATTAGTCCATGATTACTCTCTCTGTCTGCTGCCCCCTTCCCCATGGAAGGGGGTGGTGAGAGGTTGAACCACATGCCTGGACCAGTCTTGAAGCCATTCCTAGTGGAAGGGGTGGAGGAGAGGAAGGAATTTTGAGCGGGGGGGGCTAGGGTGGAGAGGGGGAGAGAGGCTCTTTTTATGTCCAAATGTCATTCTGCGAAAGCAAACTTTAAGGTGCAGAAACTATTTTCCAGAATAAAATAAAAGCCAGACCTTTTTCGGCTCGACACGTCATTGCTCTCCATCTCCCTCACCTTGGATTGCTCCTAGGGTGGAATTTGCTTGGCCCTAGGTTTGAATGTCCCAAGCAACAGGCCTTCCTACAGTCATTCTTCACTGACTGTTCCCTGAAATGGGGCAAATAAGAGGAGCACAGGCAATGCATGGCCAACGGGAATACTCTATTGAGACAGACAAGTGTTAGTTATTGTTTGTGTTGAGTAGTGCCTGGGAGCCTCTCTCCTGGCTCAGGACTCTGCGGTGCTAGGTGCTGCACACACACAAAGCAAAGGAATGCTCCCTGATCCAGGAACTGATTCCCCTTCCCGCCCTCGGCCCCTCCCACATGGAATCCTTGAAGGGCTTAGAACAAATTGTATTGTCGTTTATCTCTTAAATTAGGCCAACGTTCCCAGATGTAACCCCTGCTCCCTCCCTGTACCCCGATGTTAGGACTATTTGTTTTACAGTAGCACATGGAGGCTACAGCTGAGATCAGGGCCCCGTTGTGCCAGGCGCTGCACAGACACACAGGGAGACAGTCCCTGCCCCAGCTGAGAGCAGGGCCCTGTTGTGCCCGGCGCTGCACAGACACACACGGAGAGACAGTCCCTGCCCCAGCTGAGAGCAGGGCCCTGTTGTGCCCGGTGCTGCACAGACACACAGGAAGAGACAGTCCCTGCCCCCAAACTAGGCAAGCCAGCCAAAGGAAGGGTGGTGGTTGTCCCAAGTTTGCTGATGTACAGAACGATGGAGTGATTTGCACAAGGAGCCAGAAGTTGAACCCAGCCATCCTGAGCCCCCATCTAGGGCCCGAATCACAGGCCCCTTCATTTCTTCCCCCTTCTGCTGGTTCCAGGGCCAATGCCCCCGGGGCAGGGGAGTGCCGTGGGACTTGGCACATCTGGCCTTTGCTCCCTTCTCCTATGGCTCCGCAGGGGAGGAGCCGCCCAGGGCCATGGGCAGCAGACACAAGGAGGGCTGAGAGCAGGGCCCTGGGAGATCTTTAACCCTCACGTTTCAGGGGCGCAGCTTGAGCTGGGAGCCTGGGTTCCCCACCGAGAACAGAGGGGAGAATCTCGCATTCTTGGAGCATTAGAGGCCGAGCCCAGCCCTGGGGGAAGGGCCGCTCCTGCCTGTGACACCAGAGGCGGTCGCTGTGCGTGGAAGGAAACATAGGTGTCATTGCTGGAGGGGAGCAGGGAGCGGCCCCTAACCCCAATGAGGTGCATTTGCAGCCAGCCTCTGGCACCATCAGCCCCCTGGCGACAAGTGGCTCCAGATCTGCTTCCTGCCCCAGCGGCTGTGCTCTCCCTCGTCCTTTGAAGAACCAGAGAATCAGTCTATATACAGTATAACACCCCCCCAGGCCATGCAAAGTCAGTCCATATAAAGTAGGGCAGTCAATTAATAGCAGTTAACTCGAGCTATTAATTTGTTTTGCGTTATCTCGATTAACAAATTACTTACGATTAATCAGTTTTAATCGCACTGTTAAACAATCATCGCAATAATACCAATTGAAACGTATTATAAATATTTTGGAATGTTTTTCTACATTTTCAAATATATCGATTTCAATTACAACACAGAATACAAAGTCTACAGTGCTCACTTTATCCGATTACAAATATTTGCACTGTCGAAAAGATAACAGAAATAGTATGTTTCGATTCACCTCGTGCAAGCACTGCAGTGCGATCTCTTTATCGCGAAAGTGCAACTTACAAATGTAGAATTATTTTTCACATAACCGCACTCAAAAAACAAAACAATGTAAAACTTTAGCGCCTACAAGTCCACTCAGTCTTACTTCTTGTTCAGCCAATCGCCAGGGCAAACAAGTTTGTTTATCTATACGGGAGATAATGCTGCCTGCTTCTTGTTTGCAGTGTCACTTGAAAGTAAAAACAGGTGTTCGCATGGCAGTTTTGTAGCCGGCATTGCAAGGTATTTATGTGCCAGATGCGCTAAACATTCCTATATCCCTTCATAAGGTCCAAAAATCTTTATAACACATTTCCATTGGTATTCTATGATTGCTTAACAGTGCGATTAAAACTGCAATGAATTTTTTAAATCTCGCGATTAATCGTGATTATTTTTTTTAATCGTTTGACAGCTCTCAGCCACTGAGTCAGTCCATATGAAACCTCCAACTTCCTAGTCCTTAGGTTCTGCTGCCACCTTGTGGCCATTCCCAGTCATTCTAGGACCTCAAGTCCTCATTTGTCTTTTCTCTTCCATTCTCTCCTCCCCCCTACCCCCCCCATCACAACAGTTTGAAACATGGGCGATGGGTGAACCACCTACGGGGAGGCTAGCCCGCTGGCCCCACCCCTTCCACCTACCCTGGGCGAGGAGCTGGGGTGCTCGAGATTAGCCCCTGGACCGTTTCCCTGCCCCCCGGGGCACACTGCCCAGGGCAGGGGGAGGGTCTGGGGCTCCCCACAGCAGCCCAGGCTTCCTGGGGGGGCTCTTACTGCAGCCCAGCTCTCTG